AAATTATTCCACTCCTCACCATGTCATCAAGTTTTGGCTTAAGTTTTTTAACTATTGAATCCGGAAAGCGCTTTCTATAATGCACAACCGGCTTTGCATTTTCATCCAAATATAAAGTAATTTTCCCTGGTATTTTTCCAAGCCCAGTGAATACATCACTGTTCTCATTTACAAACTTATCTTGTTCATTTGGAAGCCTCACTGAGTCAACATCCACTCTTCTAATCAATTCTAACCTAATGCATGTCTCAAGCCCAAGTATCGGTTCAAATGAATCATCAACAACTATAAATTCTACCTTTTCTCTGAGATCTTTTAAATCAAATAGTTCAATTTTAACAATACCATAAATTCTGATTTGTTTATTGCTGTAATCAAATACACACAAGTCTTTTCGTTCAGTGCTCATTTTTAAATTCATTGCTTTAACTATTTTTAATGGAATGCAGTTAACGTCCGCTCCCGTATCAATTTTGAATTCAACTTCCCTATTTCCTACTAGGTAGGCTTTCGTCCAGCGTTTTACATGTTTTCCCACTGAGTTTACTCTAAAAATATTATTTTTAACACTAAGTATGGATCTTAATTTAAAGTGTTTTTCCATTGTGTTACCTGACAATTCGTCCCAGCGAACAGTATCGACCCGTTGCCTTCCATTTGGTTTTGATTCCTGTTTACCTGCTTCCGATTTGTTTGCCTTTTTACGACACATTCGACGAAAATGACCTTTCTTCCCGCATGAACACATGAATTCTCTTGCTGGACATTTGCTCTTGTGATCCGAATTCCAGTCACCACCACAATTAAAACAAAAACGCCGATTTGTTACGTTTATTGCGTTTACTTCGTCCTTTTCTTTGCTTGCTATTGATGCTACTGCTGAAATTGATTGCTTTGATGCCAAAATGTCTTTATTCGCGTTTACTGATTCAAATGTTTTGCACATTTCCACCACTCTTTCAAGATTTTCATCGCGCCCATCAAGCAATTTCAGCTGCAGCTTCCTATCACAAACTCCAGTAATGATGCGATCTCGCA